CCCGTGGACGCCACCGTCTCCGTCTGCGCCGCGACGCTCCGACACTAGGTCGGCGGCGGTGGCCTAACGCGTACGCTCGCAACGAGGCGCGCACCGGTAAGGGGTGGAGGATCAATATCACGGTTAGGGAGAGACCAGACTGAAAATAGGAGCGAGAGGTAGGAGCAGCGATGAGGGATAAGGATTACAAGGGGTAAGAGGGGAGACCCAGCCCCGAAAATGTCAATTCGCCGGCCATAGCTCCTCGTGAAATTACGATCGCGACACCGGAGGGTTGGGTACTTCATGGCCGATTTAGGCGAACTTCTTAACGGTTTACGGGGGAGAGATTTCGAAAGAGATGAGACAGATGTTGATTGTGCTGCTGCAGGAGTTTGCTGTTAGGTTAGAAGTTGTGGTTCGTATGTGGATGATTCTGGTGTAACTGGAGTGGAGTTAGGTTCTTCTATTCGATTCGCTGATTTTTAGGTCCATCTGGAATTTTAATCGTGTCGTTAGTTCGTGGATAATTTGTTTTTTTTTTTTTTTTTTTTTTTTTTTTTTTTTTTTTTTTTTTTTTTTTTTTTTTTTTTGTTATATTGTTGTGTCTGATCGTTTCTTTCGTCGAATGATCAACGTCTGATTTAGAAAATGAGAGAAAAATGAGATAGAACGTAGTCAGATTTCGTGAGTTGGTGAATTTAGACGATCCACTGGTCGACATCGACAGAGCGCGCGGTAGAACGCTCCGTTAATATACAACACCGAATGGCTCATGAAAATCCGTTGTGAAAACTAAATATCAATTAGCTGACCTTTGCGACGGAGAAACTTACGAAGAGCGCGTGACCATTCTGCATTAGGACAAATTCGATCGTGTCACGTGTTCGATCGTTAGACGATCGCGAGAAACACTTGAAACCGTTCGAGTACAATCGAGGAAAACAAACTGTGGCTGGAAATATCCGGCGAATTATCTGTTCATACGTAACTCGTACTCGAAGATTGCATGATTTTTATCTAAGTCGATGTAACGGTAAATATTTCGACGACGAAAACTCGCGTGTTTGTTGACAACAACTCGTAGCGATTTGTTTTTCGGTTTTTTTTCTTCTCTCGAGACGATCGTATTTCCGTCGCGAAAGGTCAGCGAAATCGATCGGGATCTCTTCGAAGATTTTGTTCCGACAAAAGAGGCCAAGCAGTAAAAAAATTACACACACCACACAGACACATATGCACACAAATTTCACTCTCCTGCGCGAAACCAAAAACTAAAAAGTGAAAAAAAAAGAACACAAAAGTGAGAAAAAATTGGACGGGATATATGTTTCAAGGTTGTATAAAACCAAACTCGTGGTTCTTGTATCCGATTTATTTTATACTCGCTTGCCTTGTGTGTAGAGCGTTGACTAGATGATTTTCTACTGATCCTCTCTTTACAAGAATACGAAAAAAAAAAAGAAAAAACAGTCGTCGAGGTCATCGTGAGTAATCTGGAATCGAGACCTCTTAAAGAAACACCTCTCATTCACACAATAATGTCATCATGGGAATTTCGTCATTCGCAAGGCAGGTTTCTTCCGTGGTCTCTAGAACATGACGTACATAACCTAAAACTTCGGTTAAACATGTACCTCGAACGAAGAATTAATTCTATGTATTCCTATTTTCTTACGTTAGAAATTCTATTCGTATTTCGATACGGACGTCGGATTAATTATTTAGATTCTATAATTCTGCCTGTCGAGGTTACCGAACTGTGAATATTCGGTGCGAAGAAACCGTCCTTTGAACTGACGAATTCGATCCGATAAGAGGGAAATTACGAGAGAAAAATCAGAACGTAATTCGTAGAGTTCCCAAAAAATAAAAAAATTTACGTAATTCAACGTTCGTCGATTCCACGTTTTCCTGATATTTTTCTCAATTTCGTTCCCTCTTGATAACCACGAAGTCAACGTCGATCGATTCTGTCTGCATCTGTCGAAAGAATTGTACAATTTGTAAAAAACACTTTGTGGGATCGGTATTTTGTAATAAGAGGTATTCGATCAACGATATAAGTTAAATAATAATCGACCAACAAACACGAGAACCACGGCGACTAGACTTAGAATCACGGCGACAGAAGCATAGCGACGCATCGGTTTCTTTTTTCCTTCGTCGTATTGTAAATAGCGTGTAGTAAGCCAGAGGGCGGGATGGTAGAAGGCGGGAGGTAGATAGAGACAAAGAGAAAGCGAGCGAAGCACGTGACTGTAATTTTTGCGGCTGACGGATAATCGGCGAAACACCGCCGCGCCACGCCATGGAGTCTTGGCGTTTTCTTCTTCGACCGAATTGCGCGCGAGAGGGGATCGAGAATGCAAACGAAAGCCGTTTCTCTCCCTTCTCGGCGAGAAATCGCTTCGGACAGGTCATAGGATACGGCCCGTCACGATGTTATACGTAACGGGCGTGCACAGTGACAATCTCGAAACTAAAAATAAATGGAAACAAAAGAGAATTTAATTAAAGGTTCAAGTCGATACGAAATTGGCAACGTGTATTTGTTGAGGTATCCGCTTTACGAACAGGTCGAATCGACCGACTCTCACGGTTAAGGAAGAATAGGGAGTAAAATAAGAAAAAATAAAAGCAGAATGTACGAGAAGCGAGAAGAGTAATGTGGTTGATTAAGGTCGATTTGTAATTAGAGCCGAAGAATTCGATGGCGAGATAACGAATTCGTAAGGAAATTAACGACAGTGAGAGTTTTTGGTTTTTTTTAGAGGAAAAAGAAGAAAAACGTTACGTGAACGGGATGACGCGTGCACGCGGTCATCGCCGCAGATCCACCGACGCAGAATCAATACTCTCTTCACGCTATGGTTCTCGACGAGATTGTGATATATATATATATTGTTAATGCTGTAACGATAACTAGAGCGCGTACGCATAGGGGGCGCGTTTAGAGGAAGAAGAATATGGTGGCGCAGCGCGCGGTCATCCCGGGGACTCGGAAGCGAACGGATTTTTATGTTTTGTCCACGAGCCTGACTAGAGATGGTCTTCGATGATCCGTGCCGTGAAACTTACGCCTCGACGTTTCTTTCCGTTCGTGAAGTACACGTGATGGTGCAGATATATAGGCTCACCAAGAAAGCGAGAGCGAGAGTGAGAAAGAGAGAGAGAGACGAGACGAGGCAGCAATAAAACGGTAATGAAACGAAGAAAAACAAATGAAAGAAAGAGCAGAACAGTGCGAGATGAAAGAGAATGGTAGAGCGAGCGATCGATCGAGAGAGAGAGAGTGAGAGAGAGTGTGTGTGTGTGTGACATGGTTGGATAGAGACGCGAGGGGGAAATAATGCCTGTAAATAAACGAACAAAACAGAAAGAGAGAGAAAAAACGAAAGAAAGAAAGAAAACAGTGTTGCGTTATAATTATTTATGTTGCTGATCGAAGCGGATTCGATAGTGAATTATTGTAATAATTCGTAATTTAACACAGAGAACGGAGAGAAGAGAAATGAGAAATCATATACACAGATTATGTACATAAGCTAATGGGTAATATCTCCCTTGGTAAAGGATAGTTTACGGATAGTTATTTTTATTACTATTATTATTATTATTTCTAAGTAACTATTATTATATTATTATTGTCATATTATTATTACTTATTACTATTGTCATTATTAATATTATAATTATCATTGTTATCCTTCGGCCAATGATCTCAAAAGAAAGATACTAATTGCGTTCGGATGAGAGTGTTACTAAATCTGAGCCGATTTTAATTTTCGTCAAAGGCCACAAACGGAAAAAGGATCACCGTTTTCGTTGACACATTCAAAAGAAACGAATTCTACTTCTTCATCGTCTCTTTTTCTTCTTTCTCTACTTTTTACTACTTTTTGTTTCCTTTTTTCGTTCGTTCGTTCCTTCCTTTTATTTTTATTTCTGGCCTATGTACTCTCTAAACATGTTTATGACGCACTCGAAGCGAATTCTTCGTCTACGGTTGCGCTTCGTTTCCGGTTAATAATCGTAAGTTCCGTTAACGCTTCTCATGCGGCGTGCGCATTCCAGAAAAAGGCGGCGACCGCGCGGCTTTTGAATTCCTTTCTTCGTTTCGATTTATCTCGGATCATACACTCAGACTTCTTCTATCTTTAGAAACGCGTCGAATTTGGACGCGTTATCGGAGAATGAACACGTTCCTTTTTTCTGTATCGGGCCAAGCATTCTTTCATTGCATAAGATAGACTATAAACTGAATAGATAGCCGTTCGTATCGCTGTATAAGCCTCGTTTATACCGAGTATCGATTTAAAAATCAGACGATTGTTTTATAAACTTTTATCGACAGATGAGAAACATTGCCCATTCGAAAATTGGGACTCGAATTTTTATTGCGTTTTCTCGTCAATATGAGCGAACGAGAGCTCTAAGTAAAACACGAATAACCGTTTCATTTCGTCCTGGATTCCTCGACGAATCCTTCCCATGAGGACATTAAAAAAGCAAAAGATGAAAGAAAGAAAAAAATATATAAATGGCGGTTCAACATGATGTAATTCGAAAGTGACCTATTAAAGGAATGAATTCAGTTAGAACTGATAGCGGTGCAACGCTGATCAAATTATTCATAAACATGTTTTATCAAACGAGAGTCAAGACATTTTGTCGTGTCTTTGTATATTTTTATGCAATGTTGTAGAATGATATTGTTTCAAATATATTATACAGATAATAATAATAAACAAATTTATATGCCATAATCTGTGCTTCATTTCCTTCGATCACCCTACTGACTTCACTGATAGCTGAAAAATATTTACATATTCATCCAATTCACTTCCTGTCACAAAATATATGCATTAAAGTAAAAACCATAAAGATATTAATTTCACTACAGTATAATTTGAATGTGCAATATGTTACTGTACTTCATCTGTAGTTGTAAAAATCTCTTTCAATGCTTTACCAACAAATGGTAAAACCAAAATCACGTGCTAGAGAGATCTGAAAAGAGTGGGAACTTTCTAGTTGTTTCGAAGGCATGGCTACCGCTTTCAGATTGAGGCTCGCCATTAAATGCGGGAAAAATCTTTCAAGACCGTTAATCCGAAGCTACGAAAGAAGGATTTTCGAAAAACAATGTCAGCGACTTTCGGGTTTGTATATTTTCTTTCTCAGTTTATTCTTTCAAGTGAGTGCACTTTGAGGTTACGCGGACATGTTTTACTCAGATATAAATTGATATCAAGCATTTAGCACTTAGATTAATTTATTTATATTTTACTAATTTTTTAATGTACAGCTATAACAAGCAGTTCGGTACAATGCTTTTCCTCTCAGACTGCAACACAACCTACAGAGACTCACAATATTATAAAAGATACGGAAAAAGTTACAGGTATGTACAAGATTTTTCGGTTTTTGCATATTTTCAAAAATACGTTGTATGTATATCATCATATTTGTTCATTTTCTTTAGGTGAAAGTGCTAAACATGAGTTTCAGTCAGAGACTCAGATGCTCTTACAAATTGTTGCTAAGTCTTTGTATTCAGATAAAGAGGTAATATTATTTTAATTCTTACATAGTGTTTTCTTTTAATGTTATGCATCAGTTACTATTATAAAATTAAAAATGTGTTTCTTAGTAATATGACTTTTTGTGTTATAAGGTATTTCTTCGTGAATTAATTTCCAATGCAAGTGATGCACTTGAAAAACTACGATACATGCGATTAAGTGACAGCAAAGCAGCAGAGCTTATAGGAGATAGAAGTTTAGAAATTCATATTGGTACTGATAAGCAAAACAGAATTCTTACAATTCAAGATACAGGAGTTGGTATGACTCGTGAAGAACTAGTATCAAACTTAGGAACTATAGCTAGATCTGGTTCTAGGGTAAGTGCAATTGAAATTGCAACAATGATATATATTTATAATACATTACTTATATTTTTCATTAACACAGGCTTTCTTAGAAAAATTAAAAGAAAAGCAAGATGCTGGTGATTCATCTCAAATTATTGGACAGTTTGGTGTTGGTTTCTATAGTGCTTTTATGGTTGCTGATAAAGTGGAAGTATTTACAAAATCATATACAGAAGGTGCTGAAGGCCTTTTTTGGATTTCTGATGGGTAAGAGGAATGCTTAATAATTTTTAAATACTTTTATATTTGCGTGATGCTAAACCGTAAATAAATTATTAAAATACTTTTTCATCTAGTTCCAATACTTTCAAAATTTCAACTGCTGAAGGAGTCCAACCAGGAACAAAAATTGTTATTCACTTGAAAGTCGATAGCCGAGAATTTAGTGACGATGACACAGTTAATCGTAAGTAACATTAAACCTTTAATTGTATTGTATATTGTTGGATAATTAACTAACATTTATTAATGCTCCAAAGGCTTAATTACTAAGTACAGCAACTTTATTAGCAGTCCCATTTACGTTAATGGCAAAAGGGTTAATACTATTCAGGTAAGATTGAAATATTTCTCCTGATTTCTGAGGCTATATTTTCATATGTTTATATTTTAGCCATTATGGATGCTCGATCAAAAAGATATTACGCCACAACAACATAGCGAGTTCTATAAGTATATTGGGAACTGTTTTGATTCTCCACGGTTCACGTTACATTACACAACCGATGTTCCAATTAATATAAGGGCGTTATTATATTTCCCGGAAGAAAGACCTGCATTATTCGATATGAGTAGAGGCGACGGTAGCAGCGTCTCACTGTATAGCCGTAAAATTTTAATTAAGAGCAAAGCGGAAAATATTTTGCCAAAATGGTTGCGTTTCCTTAAAGGAGTAGTTGATTCCGAAGATATTCCCCTTAATTTAAGTCGCGAATTACTACAAAATAGTACTTTAATAGGGTAAGAAACTAAAACCCATTATAGACGTGTAAGATTAATTTTAGTACACGGACGTACAATGATTTCAATTTTCTGTAATTTCCCATTTTTTAGAAAATTGCGCGATGTTTTAACAACACGCGTCTTAAAATTTTTGAATGAAAGAGCTCGAAAACAGACTGAAGACTACAACAAATTTTATAAAGATTACAGTATATTTTTAAAGGAAGGCGTTGTGAGCACTGATAGTCAGAGAGACAAGGTAATATTAAAAAAAGTTAATATTATATTTTTATGTATTTCGTAATTATTTGATTATACTTTTTGTTTCTATAGGAAGAAATAGCCAAACTTTTACGATATGAGTCATCTATAGCGGAACCAGGACAATTAATCAGTCTTACAGATTACTGTGAACGCATTTCTGCAGATCAAAAGAAAATCTATTATTTGGTAGCTCCAAGGTAGAAATTTGTTAGTTTTTGCTAGTATAAATAATTAAGCCAAGATGTAAATTTACCTTTTAATTTTAGTCGCAACTTAGCTGAACAATCGCCATATTATGAATCTCTAAAAAAACGTAATATCGAAGTACTGTTTTGTTATGAAGCACATGATGACGTAATTTTCATGCATTTAAGACAATTTAAAGATCTTCCTTTGACTTCTATCGAAGAAGATATGCGTGATGACTCAAATAAATCTGATAGTCCTGGTATGTGATTCATATTCGAATAATTTTTTAATGTTGTTAAATATCTGATGTTGATACTTTTCTTTAGATATTATTAACAAAGGTGAAATCGATAATCTTATCACTCATATGAAGAAAGTTTTGGCAGGAAAAGCAAACGATATTAAGATAACGAATCGACTTGAGTCACATCCATGTGTAGTCACAGTCAAAGATATGGCAAATGCAAGGCACTTTACTCGCTTACAGACTCGTCAAATGCAAGATGAAATGCTATATTCCTTGCTCAGACCAACTTTTGAAATAAATCCTAATCATTCTCTCATTAAGAAGCTTTGCGAAATAATGAACAGCAATTCCAAATTGGCAGATCTTCTTATAAACCAGGTACTATTTATTACCGTTGTATTCTGGATATTTATAATTTTTTCGCACAATCTAAATTTCTTTCTGATCCTTTTTAGCTGTTCACTAATAGTATGGCTGAAGCTGGTTTAATTGACAATCCACGAATATTACTAGCGTCAATGAACGAGTTATTGACTGCAGCGCTAGAAAAGTATTAATTGGTTATTTAACAAATCATTTAAAAATACTCTTTAATAGGTATATATGAGCAATTTGAATAAAATGATTATTTGACAATAGTAAAGCTTCTTATAGTTGCAAATTACTTTTTACTGGTGGAATTCATTAGCAACTAATTATTATTGTACGTTTATTCTTATTAAAATAAATTTTTTTACGTATTCTATTACTACATGCGTTTTCTATTCTGCTAATTTTCACTATAAGAAATCGTACAGAAAAAAGAAATTACAAAGGTTATGGGTTTTGTATTCGTGTAATAATACAATGTAGGCAAGATTGTATTCTTTATTACAATAGGTTGATCTTGTACAAATTAATTATAGCCTTCTAATTATAACAAGTCAAGTTCCTCATTGTTTGAAGGATTTCATGATATCGATATGTATCCTATTAGCAGGGCTAAGTGTTGCGGTGAATTTGGAAGTTGTACCCACATCTTTTTCGTGTTCAATTTTCCTACATTCTTTGTCATTTTATAATTATGGCAAGTTACAATAAAGTAAGAAATAAGTGGAACTATTTATTAGTTTGTAAGTTATAAATCAAGTACAAAAAGAATCAATAATAAGTAGTTCGGAAAATAAAAAAGTAAACGCACACAAATGAAATAATACGCTTTCGTTTTCGTTCAATTCCGATTGCTTAAATGTTCGATTTAATAAACGAGAACGTTCAATTTAAAACTAACATAGCAATTGATCAGAAGCTCTAAAAAGAAATTGCGTTTTCTCTTTTTTATCTTTATAACAACCAAATATACGTTACGACGTCCACGTGTGATTACAAAACTGATCGGTACAATATTCATAAATGGATGACAGTTTCATCCGCATCGCTTTACAGTCTTTAACCAATATATGTCTTCATTGTCGATTCGTAAAAAATAAAACTAATCTTAACAGTTAAGAACTCGCTGTGCTTCGACGCAGGCTGAAATTTTCATTGCGAGCTGATGATGTTTTCCGATACAATTTGTTAAGTTAAAACTGTACAATATTCTTATTTTCATTCTAATATAGAATAAATTGTCTATGTTCAATTGTATCCGTGTAAGTGTTGCATTGAAATTTCAGAGAGGGGAGGCACAGCTACTTCACAAACTTACATAAGGAGACAATTTCTTTCTTTTTTTTTTTCCTCTTGATCAAACACAAAAAGAAGTCACCCTGTTTCGCGATTATTATTAACGTGGTTTACTCATTTATCCCACTAAAATATAGAGTAAGATGGCTAGCATCCATTACAGAACAGGAACATAAACAGTGAATTTGCCAGGAGAATTCTACATGTATAAAAAGAACGTGTACACCTCTCCCAATTAAGCTGCCGCTAAATATTTGTTGTCCAACGGAAAAGAAAGGGTTATATTCTCGCATGGAAGTACACGGTATTTAAAAGACATTAGGCACAGAAACAACAGTATCTTGATCCATTGTGTGTCACGCTTAACTACACAAATTAATCAAGGGGAACGCCATCGTTCGTATGGCATCGTTCACGGAATTATTAAGTTGGCAGTTCAAATAATGTTTCGTTATCGTTACTTGGACAGATTTCACGATGTAAAACAATAGCGTGAGA